TCCAAATTGCTTTCCCTAATATTCTCTTAAATACTGAAACCTTACTGAAAAGAAAAAAGGGGGAAAAAAGGAAAAAGAAAAAAAAGAAATTAAAAAAAGAAAACCACTCAGCCATAAATATCTGCAAGAAAACTGGGCAAACTGTTTAACTAAAACAGCTTTTTAATCAAATATCCATTACATTCTTCTACTGCAGCTTTGTCTAGGCAGGCAAGATAGTTTGTACAAATATTCTGACTTCCTCAATGTGTTAACTGAAATTAGAAGCATATTCTGGGTTGATATTTTAGGCTGTTCTCTAAATCTGGATGTTTTTCCTAACCACAGCCATCCTTTTCTCTTCGGCACATACAGGGTTTACCCTTAAACCCATAATATGGTAATGGAACTTGGGTTGCATTTGTATCATTTCCTTTGGTTTTGCGCATGCAGGTAACTTCCAGTACACAAACCAGCCAGTGGGTTTGTGGCACTCCCTGAGACTGCTTTGCCCCTCGTCTCTATGTGAACAGTTCAGCTTTCTTTTTCTGCAATTAGAGTGTTTAAAAGGTGGAAGAGCTACTAAAAAGGTAGCGTGCTGTTTTTCAGTGGTTGCTCACTTCACTGGGTGAGCAGAGCTCAAACTGGAAACTTCCTCCCGATCACATCATACAGATTGTGGGGCTAGAGCAATGCATTCAAAGCTCATCATGGTACACGGTGTTTGCATGTGTAAATAGGAAGTTTTGTGGTAAATTCATTGCAACCAGCTTTCAAAACTTGGCCTATCGTATCTAAATAATTTTGAGAAGCTTTGGGATAAAAGGTATTGTACTTATGTATGGGGTTATTGATAACAGTACTCAAGAATTTCAGAGTTATGGTGCCCACAGCAACTATATCTCGTCACTTGTGTTGCACCTCTAAACTACAGCATTAAATTTAACAGTATATCTATTATTTAATAAAACTGCAAGTGTTCAGCTTGCCTGAATTATGGGTGCTGTATGAGCACTGTAACTTTAACTCCCCTGACTTTTTCTCAGTTAAAGACACTGACCTTAACATTATACTAACATATTTTATTTGGTGCATTAAAGATTAATTCACTAATGTATTTTAATGAGAAAAAGCACAGATCTTTAACTAAAGCATAATGAATAAAATATTAAACAGATTAAAGTGCATATCCTCTAAGAATTCACAGATTCTCTACGTACTCCGACTTAGATATTTAATATCTGCCTGAAAACTGATTGGAAATACACTATTACAGGTTTTAGACTTCTGACTGAAGTCCAAGCATGTCATAAAAATGTCAGCAGAGTTTGATTTTACTAAACCTATGTTGAGTTCTTTTTTGTACATGAGTGATTTGAAAAGTCAAGGTTTTACAGTTGACAAGCAGGAGCTGTAGGTTCCAAAATGTATGTGAGGGGTGGTATGAATATAGATTGTATTTTTGCTGTTTGATGATGCTATAGGCCTAGAACCAATGCAAGAATAAGACCTGAAAAAAATATTATCCTCTGTCTGTCATAAGTGCTGGAGGAGGAGTGTAAAATGCTCCATACTCTTGTATGTCAAAAATCAGAATCAAAACCACTACCAAGTATTACCTTTATTTGCACTTTACAAATGTATACACACCAGGAAAGCATCAACTTTCCAGATCTGGGATCTAGGCATAAATTTAGAAGCCACAGAATTGAAACATTGCTTTTTTTTTTTTTTTAATTTGATGTAGAAACATATCAGAGCAGTATATTCAATCCTGTTCCTCCAGTGGGTTCTTTTAGTACTTAGTACTCTCAGTCTGTAATACTCTAGTTCTTAGTTAGAGTCTTACCCTTTTCTAGAAGAATATTTTAAGTGTTTTAAAGTGTATTTATTGAATTACTTTCTATAGATATACAATTCTGCATGGCATTGTTCATTAAGAAAACTGGACTTTGAAATATATTCCTGCCCTAAGGAACTTTTATTTGGGAAGCCCAGGCAAATATCAAAAAAAACAAAAAAAAAAGAAAAGAAAAGAAAAAGAAAGAAAGAAAAATAAAAGAAAATGGCAACAAACTTTGTGTGCTGCTGGAAGATAAGAACTTAAATGTTTCACAGAAGTAGAGTTACCAGAGTCATTAACTAAAGGATATTTAAAGAAAACATGGAAATTTACTTTAAAAAGGCACACGGAAAGAATTGGTTAAATAAAACATGAAGCAACTGAGAAGGAAGTCTGAGTCCCGAGAAGGAACATTGAGACATACGAAGAAATGTTGATAAAGATACAAACTAGAGTACACTTCCAGGATTAAATCTTGAGTTCTCTGAGGAAAATATCAAAGCTCCAAGTAAGTTTATCAAGGCCAGACTTGACCGAGAGAGATCTGGGAGAAAAGAGAGAGCTTAGACTGAGCACAAGAGGAAAGAAAGACTTGTTTGAGCCTGGAAGTTCAAGGAAGGACCTAAATCATGATGTCAGTAGCAGGAAAAGAAGGGTCAGTGAAGGAGGAAAGTTGGCAAGGTCTTGTGTTT